TTGGGAACTGCAGTTGGTGCTGAACGTGGGGTTTTCATCCAGACAGACTTTCATTGCACCTGAAGTACTCTGGCACACGTAGGGTGCTCAGCTGATTTCCAGCAGGTCTGGGTTGTGATCCTTAAACCTTTAACTGGTCTGGATCTCCAGCCCCTGGGAACCATGCCCAGAGCCTGCCCTGGGTGGGAAGGCCTTTTAAGAGCCTACTTTTGTGCCATGTGATGTGGATACTATTTTGCTTGATTTTGATGTTCTGACTTCTGTACCTGCCCCTAGAGATTACAGTGGTTGCCAGTGTAACCAGACAAAGGGCTCCTTCGACAGCCCTCCCTCACCGGGCTGTCCTTGAGGAGCCTTTGCTCTTTTTCCAGGAAAGCACAACTAATTCAGAACCTTTTCAGGCCTGTGAATATTCCCTCCCTTGCTGATCGTGCTGCCTTTTCCGCTCAGTAATAACCTCTCCCTCGGCAGCGTCCCTTGGGCAGATGAGAAGAGACTTCCCCAGAAGGATGAGCCTAAGTACGTGAGCAACGCAGGCCAGAGGAGAAGGGGAGCCTCCCTCCTCTGTGTACGCGGCTGAGCTTTTCTTTCAACTGAGAAGAGGGTTCCTATGATGCATGGTTTTACTCTACTAATGACATTTTTGGCCAGAAACACTGTCCTTGCAAAGGGAACTATTTTCCAGATCTCTCTTTACAAGTCAACCAGCACAATATTATATAAAGATTTTGCAAACAACTCCCAAGTCAGATTTCCCCGCAGTGAGGCCAGCCCTGCTAGACACCGCAGCAAGGTATGGATCAGAGAGAAGATTTCAAAGAAAGGCAGCACTCAAAGCAATTCCAGATATTCTTACAAAGAGCAAAAACAAATCTGAATTGCTTGCAACTCCTATTAACACAAGACGCACAGACTCATTAAACAGTTGTAAGCATAACAAGTGTATTATAAATCAGTCAATCTGAATAACTAGTGCAATGTAAAAGAGGTGGAGACAAGCAGAAGGGTAAAATTAAAAACAGCAAACATGAACCATCCCCATGTATTTATACCGGCTGATTTCCTGCACATGAAGTGGTTTAAATCAGCAGCCAAAGCAGTCATGCTTTAGCTCGACTGCAGGACTGCCCTTATCAGAGGTTAGTTCTCCCATCATTAACTTACATTTTATCTTTCTTTTGTAATTCGCTGACATGGGACAAGTGAAAGAGTAAGAGGAGACACCGAATTGTGCCGAGGTGAGTGTTTCACCAGGTCACACAAGGCTCTCGCAGGCTGTCAACAATTAAGTCAACATTATAAAGTTACACATCGGCGGCAGAACTCCACCGGGACAACTGCATCGCATCAGGAGGCACGTAATGAAGTCATTTCTGTCAACAGCGTCATCAACGCAGGACACATTATCCCTCCACGCAGCGCTCCCACCACAGTGCCATCTTCACTATGAAATCCTGTAGAAAAACAGTCAGCCTGGTGGGTATCCACTACCTTCCGCTGAGTTCATCGCATTTATTCAGAATACTTGTTTGGCTTCTAAAACATGGGCAACCCTTCTCACCCTTACAGTGAACGCTTTACCCTTCCTTTTTTGTTGAACAGCTACAGTCTTTTGCACTGTACTCCTTAAAGCTGGAGAGCGCAGTACAAAATCCATGAATAGCAATTAATCTAAGTCACCAAGAGATAGTATTCCTGCAACTTCTGCCCTCCCTACAC